GGCTCTAAAATGTCTATGGCCATAGCCTTTTATTACAATTATTTTTAATATCAAACTTTATTACTTAGCAACGTGAGGATATTCATGAGAAAATAAGTGAAAGTGAAAAGTTGATGCATGAAATGAGCCAAACATGGGAACAGAAACTTGAGAAGACTGGTAAGAAACAAATGTTTCTGTTGTGAATCCTTCTTGACTTGATTATGCTTGAATGCAACGAGACTTTCTCTACTCTTTATGATATTCTAATATTACTATTGCTTGCAATCCTTAGAGCGGCTTCAGCAGGAACGCCAACAGGCCTTAGAAAAAATGGGTATAAGTGTTCAGGCCTCAGGCATACAAGTGGAGAAAAATAAGTATTATCTTGTGAATTTAAATGCTGATCCATCTTTGAATGAACTGCTAGTATACTATTTAAAGGTTTGTTCTCCGGAATTTGTTACCATTTATCATTGTTGGCTAACAAACAAATCTATATCACTGAAAATGCCTTTTTTTCCTCTGAACATTATAAAATAGGAACGAACACTTGTTGGTGCGAAAGGAGCTGAATCAGAACAGGACATTCAATTATCTGGTTTAGGCATTCAACCAGAACATTGTGTAATTGTGATTGAGGATGGCGGCCTCTTCCTAGAACCTAGAGTTAATGCCCGTTGTTTTGTCAATGGTGTACCAGCAATGGAACGTACTCCATTACACCATGGTGACAGAATACTGTGGGGAAACCATCATTTTTTTAGAGTGAATTGTCCCAAATCAGCTTGTAAGTGCACAGTGTTCTCTATGCCCCTTCCAATTTAAACCTCACTTTCTTATGACAGAGCTTTAATCTATCACTACTATTTTTCAGCTGCTACTTCCTCAGAGCCGCAGACTCCAGCTCAGCCTATTGATTATAACTTTGCAAGAGAAGAACTTATGTTGAATGAAATGAATAATGGTCCAATTCAGTCAGCAATTGCTCGTCTTGAACGACAACATGAAGAAGACAAGCAGGGTAATGTTGTGAAACACACAGTAACACCCTCCTACATTTCCCTCACACAAATTGCAAATGATATGCATTTAAAAAAAAAATGTATTAAAATGTATTGTTTTAACAATTTACAGTGGCATTAGAAAAACAACGTCAAGAATATGAAAGACAGTTCCAGCAATTAAGAAGTATTATGTCTCCGTCAACACCGTACTCTCCATATGTTCCTTTTGATCCTATTCGAGTTGGAAAGATTACACCAAATACACCTACAACTCAAATGAGAGTTGAAAAATGGGCTCAAGAAAGGTATGAACAATGAACAGGACAAAGTTCTGTCAAAAAAAAAAGGGTAAAAGAATCAGTTGTGGTTAATCTGTTACTTTTTAAAAAAATGTTTACAGTGATGAGATGTTTAAAAGAAGCCTGGGTAACCTGAAAGCTGATATTGTGAATGCTAACGCCCTGTGCCAAGAAGCTAATTTTCTAGCTGAAGAAATGGGTCGGCAAACGAAATTTAGTGTCACACTGCAAATACCTCCAGCAAATTTAAGCCCCAACAGAAGAGTAAGTGTATCATCTCCTGTCCGCTTATTCCCTAAAAGTTACTATAGATAATATCCTCTACTTAATTTGTGTGTTTTGTATCCAGAGAGGAGCTTTTGTCAGCGAACCTGCTATTTTAGTTAAACGCAAAAGAAAAGGAAGTCAAGTTTGGTCCATGGACAAACTTGAAAATAAACTCATAGACATGAGAGAACTTTATGGTGATGGAAAAGAGCATGTAAGTTTTCCTATATATGTGTATATATATTTTCTTTATTTTACTTGTTGCTGTGAATTTTATTTATTTTGATGTCAATAGGACCAGGATGATGCTTCTGATCCATTTTATGAGTACTCAGAAAACCACAATCTTATTGGAGTAGCAAATATCTTTTTAGAGGTACTATTTCATGATGTAACTTTAAATTACCACACTCCTATTATTAGTCAACAAGGTGAAGTTGTTGGACGCCTTCAGGTAAGTGTTCTAACTGTGGTGAAATAAAGTTTGGTATAGGCTTTCAGATCACCTGAGTTAATTTCTTTTTCTGTTGTAGGTGGAAATTAATAGAATATCTGGGACTTTTCCTCAAGATAGAACTTGTGAAGCAGGTTCTGAATGTTCTGGGGACAGTGGCAGAGACGATGAAGCAGTTCATGGTTCTTCAACAATCACTTGCAGAGTAATTATTCATTGTTTTTCCAAAACTTTCCCTAAATTTAATGCATGTTTTGTGTATAAAAATTACTAATGTCCTTTGTTCTATATTTCAGGTATCCATTAAACAAGCAACTGGACTTCCACCATCTTTATCTAACTATGTATTCTGTCAGTATTCATTTTGGAACCATCCAGATGTTCAAGTGGTAACTGCTGATCCTTCAACATTTACCTTCAACCATGAGCAAAACTTTACTATTCCTGTCACTGAAGAATTCATTGAGCATTGCTCAGAAGGAGCCTTGTCAATTGAAGTTTGGGGACATCGTAGTGCTGGTTATACTAGAACTAAACCCGGTTGGGAAGTTGAGCTTCAATTGGCTAAAGCTCGATCATTAGCCGACAGGTAATTGTTACTTTTAGTCTGCTCAAATTACTGTAAGCTTTTATGTAAGTTGCTATCTTGTACTGTCAAAACTATCATTGTAGGTGGAGTGAGCTCACAAGAAAAATAGAATTGTGGGTGGAAATTCAAGAACTAAATGATGCTGGAGACTATGCTCCTGTTGAAGTCATTCCTCGTGCAGACATCCAGACTGGTGGTGTCTATCAGTTACGTCAAGGTCAACAACGACGAGTTCTTGTGGAAGTGAGACCTGTGCACAATTCTGGAACCCTTCCTATAATTTGCCAATCCATTATTAGTATTGCTGTGGGAAGTGTTTCGAAAAGGTTTGAGTGATTCATTATTCTAAAATCTTACTTGTATTTTTGGATCTTTTGGATCTATTTATTAATGCAAACGAGTGAATACTTGCAGGTCTAAATTGCAAATGCCTCTTGATTCCTACCAAGAAGAGGATCTAGCTGTTCTAAGAGAGAAGTGGCAAGAGGCTCTTTTGCGAAGGCGACAGTATCTTGATCAGCAGATTCAAAGACTTATTAATAAACAAGGCAAGTTGTTGATTGTATGAACTACTTTCTTACACCTGGTAGTGTTTGTATAAGTTGTTTAAGTTTTTATTTTTATTCACAGATAAAACTGAGGAAGATGTTGAACGAGAGCATAGCCTTGTCAGTCAGTGGGTCAGTTTGACTGAGGAACAAAATGCTGTTCTTGTACCTGCAGCTGGATCTGGTATACCAGGGGCTCCTGCTGATTGGGTTCCTCCCTCTGGCATGGAAACTCACATGCCAGTGCTATTTTTGGATCTTAATGGTTAGTCCTGTTGAAGCTTTAATTTGTAAAGGTAAACTCACCCATTTTTTGGTCTGTTGTTAGTTTTATTGTTGTTTATTTTCATAGCTGATGACCTCTCCACAAGTCAGTCTGGTGAAGAAGTTCCCACCACAGGTGTAAATTCTATTCTTCCAAAGGAGCTTGGAAATAAATTTTATAGTCTACCTATCATTCGAAGAATGGAAAAAGAGGTCTGTGCAGTGGCTGCCTGGGACTCCTCAATTCAAGATAATGTCCATTTAAATAAAGTCACCGAAGGTTATTTTTATTCTTATGCTTTACATTATTTAAAAAAAAAAAAATTATTGTTGTCTAATCTAGGCTTGTACACCTTTTTTTTACTGTAGCAAATGAAAGAGTCTACTTAATTTTAAAGACTACAGTGCGACTCTCCCACCCAGACCCCATGGATTTGGTACTAAGAAAGCGTCTTAGTCTTAATATCTATAAGCGCCAGTCACTGACTGAACGTATTCGGAAACGGATTGTACGAACTGACTGTTTGACACGTTCTGGTGTGACTTATGAATTGGTATCAAATATTCCAAAGGTACATCCTATTTTTCAGTGGGTTTTTGGGTTGTATTTGGTTTTATTATAACAGTATAAATAACTGAAATAAGAATCACTCCTTTTAAAAACAGTCTATTTTGTTTTTGATAGGCAAGTGAAGAGCTAGAAGAGAGAGAATCTTTGGCACAGATTGCTGCCTCAGGAGAAGATACCTCACTTAGTGATGGGGAAACATATATTGGTAAGAATTCACTGTTTAAAATGACTTGAGAAGTCATGGAAATATATGTAATGTATTAATTACACCTCTTTTATTTTCCAGAAAAATACACCAGGGGTGTCAGCGCTGTTGAAAGCATTCTTACTCTTGACAGACTAAGACAAAATGTGGCGGTTAAAGAACTACTTCATACTCAAGGGCAACCTTTGTCCATGAGGAAAACTTGCAGTGTTCCTAATTTCTCTCAGGTAAAACACTAATTTATCATTTTGAAGTAAAAAGTAGAAGTGTAGGATTGTTTTTCTAATTTCCACTTTCTTTCTTTCTTTCAGATAATGAGAATGGATTCAGATGGAAATGTAGCACGTTCTGAAAGTTTTACTGACCTTGCTGACGTTTTGTCCGGTGGAAACTTCAGCATCAGAGATTCACGTCCTATCAACCGCTCCAGTCTTGGTGGATTTGTGCGAAGCGCATCAGAAAGTGTGGACTTAGCTCATCTTGCTTCATCAAGTGGAAAACCATTTGGAATTGGTGAGTTTTATAACACTTTCTTCCTCGCTATTGTCCACTTTCTCTTGTTTGTAATTAATATGTTTCTTGAAGAGTATGGTTTGATTCGATATGTGTCCAGTCCACTTAAAAAAAAAAAAGTCCTAGGTGCCTACATAGTATCTTCTCTTGTTTCTTAATCGTGCCATAACCTGTTTTCCAAACCACTATTATTCTGTAGATTCATTGTCCTGAGACTTAGCCCTTTCCCCCTATCCCTTCTTTAAGTCTCAAATATCTTTATTTGAAGTACACAGCTATGAAATGTCCTGAAATGCATTTCTTGGGAGTAATGTAGCTTTCTTAGACTGTACCATTGGGATAGATCCCGTTTTATTTTTATGGCAGTAATAACAGATCTCTGATTAGCAGAATGCCAAGTGATCCAAATGAGTACATTTTATTGGTCTGTTCCATTACCATAGTCTGATATAGGATGCTCTATGGCATCAGTTTGTAGAAAGTCAGATATTCACGTATCTAGAGATAGGTAAACATTTTTGATGTGGGTGTTACAATTCCTTCTCTATTGTAATCTTGTAATTCCAAAAATAACAATACAAAAGACAGGAAACATCAAAAACATCACCCTGCTGACAAGTGCTCATATGAACAGTATAATATTTATATTCAAAGTATACTAAGTAATTCACACAACAAACTAGGCAAATGTTTTTTTGATTGTTGATTGAACAGCTTTTGTTTTCTGATTTAAGTTAAAGCTTTCAAATCTGACCGAATCTGATTAGTGCCCACTCTGGAACCACTTTTCAAAACTCCTTGCAAATTTGTTTTCTTCCTCACTCAAATAAAGCTTGCATCATGGTTCTTTTTTTTTCTTTATTTTTACTTGTCTTTTCTAATATCCTAGATTTTTTTCATTGCCTTATTCTAGTTTGAATTTATAATACAGTATTGAATTTTCATTGTTTCCACTGTTCACATTCCTAACATTTCCTAGAGTTATAATTGTTTTCAATACCACTGTAATCTGTCTTCTTTCATCTTTTTTATTCTTGGTGCTGTGCACAGGTTTTGTTTTCTGTTCACTTAGTCCTCTCAAATTACACCCCACAATCAATGCATAATTTAATTTTCAAAGTAAAAGTATATGTCATGTTAATGTTAGTAAATTGCTCTTGAATCAACTTAGTAGCTAAACTGGTATATATTTTCTGCTATTACACTCTAAATTTTGTGAACCCCATTCCCTTTTGTTTGTTTATTTGTCGATTGATCAATCTGTGCAACACCAATCTCCATCTGTTCAATGAGCTTAATCTAACTACTTTCACTGTTTGCAAGGCTTTAAATGTAATTTTTTGATCGTTCTTTCCATTCATTTTTATGAAGCTTCCTATGTTGTGTTGTATAAGGTCAAAGCAAGTGGAGCATCTCCATTTCTTTATCTAATAGCTCAATTCCATTCTAACAAAGCACTTATTAATTTAATCAATATTTTAGCGCTGAGCTTGGTGTACCTAAGCTAGCATCTAGCAACACTCTTAGCCAGCAGATTAGGCATTAATCTCACAACACACTCATCAAAGAAATCCAAATACAGCTTCTACTATCATAACATTCCATTACAGTACCAGTAGTTTGGTAACCCAGTCTTTTTTTACATACTCTGATGTTGTGGTGTGTTTTTTTGTTTCGCTGCCTTGTAGGCTCCATTCTGTCAGGTAACCGCGCTGGGCTTTCATTACTTGTAATACTGTACCTTTGATGTTGTTTTAATTTTCTGATTAATAATTCCTTTGTGGTTGTGGTATCAATATAATCCCTCTGCTTGACGTCAACTATCACCTATCCTGTTGGTTTTGATGGTTTAATTATGTATTACATAAATTCAATGAAAACATTCGGAACATCATATATTAATATGTTGTGATATTGACACAAAGATATCTTTGCAATGTCAAGCTGAAAGGGGATTATATTTCCATTTCCACAGGTGATAAATTCATAATCATTTTGTGTTTGTTTTCCTACCTTTGCCTGAAAATATTCTAAAATTTGAACTATCTATCTGTCTTAGGAATGTATTTTGTAAATATGCCTGTAGGGTAGATACTGTAAATTAATTTGATGTTAATAACTCATCTTCATGCATGATTGCACAGCTAGCTTTCCTGCTTGCTTACAAGCTTCCTGTCCTTGCTTCTAGTGTCAACCGGTGTCAACAAAGAAAATTAAAAATTAATGACAAAGGGAACTATATACCTTCCTACACACAGGATGGTCGTTTGTGCCAGTGTTTCTGTAAGTATAGAACCCAATCTTCTTCAGCTGAACAAGGGCAAAAGATGAGGTGGCGTCACACCCAACTTGCGCCCTTGCCTGCACTCACCTTGGAATGGGTTGCATACTTACAGTAACACCGGCGCAAACGGGCCATCCCGTATAAAAAATGTGTATATGGGCTTTATGAAGTTAAGGTGATATGCTGATGCTGTTGTGCTGATCATCAACAAACAGCCTTAACTTGATAAAGACATATTTGCCTTGTTTGACCTGTATAAAAAATTTAGAAAGCATAGTCATTAAAGAAAAGTTTTACTTTCATTAGGAAGTACAAAAGAAAACCTTGTTGCATGAGCAGTATTAGTTCAAATTTCTTGTGGCAGTTTGAAATTTTATGGAAGACTGACAATTAAACCATCTGAAATTCACGCAGATGCTCTAGTTTGTTTAGAATTTGTAGTTGTGGGGTGTTAATTAAAGGAATGCAAGCCTGCATATTTGGGACAAAGCAGCTGAGCCTCAAAATGAAATTTAAGCAAACAGTTTTCACAGGAACCAATGCAGGAAGATTTTTGGAGTCACTGTTGATCATCATCTTTGTAGTCTAATCAATTTTCAGGCACCTGCTGAAAACAACTAGGTGTGCAGTGAAAAGTCCATCTTTTATTACACTTGTTCATTCTTCCTTAGAAATGTTTTTTCAATATGTATTTTGCATTATTATTTGAAAAGATAAATTTAAAGACAGGTATTAATTCAAAAACAATTCAACACGAAGTTGAGGTTGAGAAATCATTTCTTATTGGGATCGGTAGGGATGGCAGTTTTGGCACACTACTAGTTATCCTAGTACTGTATGACTTCTACTGGCATGACTATAAACCTTTGCATGGAACTGTGTTTACAGAGTATTTTGAGGAAATTGTTAAGGCTTTTAACTTGTGAAGGTAAAAGAAAACTAGGCTTTTTTACTAAGTGGTTTACTAATTAAGTATCCATAGTACATACATACACATTTAGATGTGCTTTAAAATATTCAAAATTTTAGATTTTGAGTGTTTTAGTCTACAGTTACCGGCAAGGTCAATTTCTTTAGTCGTTCCGGTGAAATATAGAACCAGTGTGTAAATTAAATTAATGCTTTCACACTAAATGTCTCCGATATTGTGTAGTTTAATGAGTCTGTTAACAATTCAATCAGATTTTCGTGTAATCCTTTATTGTGTAGTAACTGATTTATACCAATATAAATTTGAAATTATGCGAATTTCTTCAATATATTCAATTATATTCAAACTTTTTTGGTGAAAGCTGTAAATCATGTTCTGTAAGGTGGCTTGCTTGTGGTGGGTATGTGGTTTTGGTGTTTGTCTTTAACTTGTGTCACTGTCTATTTCAGCACGTCCCACCTTCCTCAATCTCAACATCAATCTTAATGCATTGCGGCTGCAACCTGGATCTAAGTGTATGTGGTGGTTTCTACCATTTTAGTTTTCTGTTTTTCTATTTTTAATTATTAGGATGCATGCTGCTTAACTTAAATGCTTTTTGTTTTTTTCATTTTAAGTTTGTTTAACCATTGAGGTGTCTTCTTTTTTTTTTAAAGGTGGAGTTGCACAGTAGTCGTCTTAAACATGTGAATTCACCCCTACCTTTCTTTTTTTCTCAATTTTTTTTTTTTTTTGTAGGATGTTTTTGTGTCTTACCATAGTAAAAGTACATACAATCTTTTTTTGTTTTGTTTTGTAGTGAGACTAGAAATTTACATCTACCACTACCTATCTATCTATATCCTATTTTTAAAATGTCTAATCGAATTTCCTCTTACAGCCTCTCCAAATACCAAACTAACCACACTTCATGAAGAACAAATGGGGTCTTCAACTGCCCTTGATTTATCTCCCCGTGAAGAGGAAGGTGATGAAGATGATGAAGAGGAAGTGAGCACCAAAACACAGGTTTTAGCAGAGGGACGTATTGAAGAGTTAAGTTCAGGTAGCCAACTTCCACCTAGTCAAGAAATGGGGCAGCAAGGCACCGAAGATGTAACTGACTTAGAAACATATGACCCCATGTTGGAGTCAACGGCTGGGGGGGAAACTTTAATTGATGCTCCCTCTGATGTAAGTGTGGATCATTATGAAGATGCAAGTATGAGGGAAGAAAGTGTTGAAGATGGCATTGAAGATATTAAAGTGGATGTAAAGCAGGATCACTCTTCTGATGCTGGGAGCAGTGAAAATTTGTTGGAAGCTGACATTGGCACATTGAGTGAACCTGAACTTGAATCTTACCAGGTGTGTTTTTAGTGTAAATTTTTATCTCTGTCTCTTTCTCTTGTCATGTCACCAAATATTACCAACAATTTGCAATCTTTTCAGGTTAAATCATGTAGCTTAGACCAAAAAGTTTGTAAAGTAATTCCAAGTTCCCGGACTCTTGATTCTATTGTTGAGCTGCAATCAGGAAAAATTTGGACTCCAAGCTCTAGTTCAAGGTAACAGAAAGTAACCAATTGGCAATTATTTTTACCCCTCACTTTGGTGCTGATTGTATACCATCTTTGTAAACTTTTTAGCGGCTATGGTTCACAAGCTGTATCTTCAAGCAACCTGTCTAGTGAAGATTCGGTTTCCATTAAAAGCATCAGTGCTGATGACACACCTGACACTGAATTAGCTCGAGGGCCATTATTTATTGAATTACCACCTGTGTCAGAGGTTTTGCCTGTGAACCTAGTGAAATCTGACAGTATTCAGTCTGATACTGTAGTGTCACCATGCCCAGAAGAACCCCAAGAGCAGGAGACAGTACCTTTGAATATGCTGGATGTTGGTGATACTGATCTGACAGCTGCCACCCAGGCTGGACATTTAATTGATGAGGACTCCCCTTATGAGGGAACTTCAGTTGTCCACACTGCTTTACCTCCAGGAAAGGTATTGTAATATGATTAATAATAATAATGTATTAAGTAATAATGACAATAATGTATTTTTCATATGTGTAATTTCATATTAGTAAAGACTGTAATAATTATTATTTTTGTTACTGATAGAATAGGAGATCAATCTAATTATGTAGTCATTTTTTTGTTTTATAATTAAGTTTTGTGATGCACAATGCAGGTGGTGAGAAGGAAAAAAACACCAAATCGAGTAACCAACCAAAATAATAGAGCTTCATTTCCCCTTGCCAAACATCAGTCACCAGAAAGTAGCCTTTCTCATAGTATGAATGGTGATAAGAACTCAAGTTTAGAAAAGCTGTCTGGCGATGGTGAGTACACTATCTTACCTAATAATGAGTTTAGCAGTATGCATGTTAATGAAGCATCTTGGTAAAGCTGTATAAAAGTATGTGGGAAGAGGAAAACTAAAGGAGCTAGGTTAGAGGGCCTCAATAAGTTATGCTTTCTTCGTTCCTGTATTATCATTCTTTTCAGCTTTACTGAAATGCCTGGTTGCTTAAGAACTGTATCATATTAAAAATTTTCAGATGAGAGTGATATGTATGGCTCACGGAGAGACCTAAATCAAGTACCTGTCCCAGATTGGGTGCTCATTGGTGAAAGTGTGATTATTCGTCCATACAATTCAACAGGAGTTGTTGCCTTTGTGGGTCCCACTGAATTTTCTCATGGTACTTGGGTTGGGGTTGACCTTGACGCACCCACAGGTAAATCTTTAACCTTTATTTTCCTCTTAATTATAAAGATTTGACTCAGCAACTTATTTTAAAATCATTTATAATCAAATTATTATTATTCATTCTGTGCTCTCTAAATAACTTCTAGGAAAGAATGATGGTATGGTACAGGCTGTACGCTATTTTACATGCCGCCCAAAACATGGAATTTTTGTGAGAGCAGACAAACTTATACAAGATAGGAGAGGCCGAGCTATGCGACATTCCGATGTAACAGCAAATTCCAGTACACTTAAGCGTAGCGGAAGTCGTGGTCAGTATTAATTAACTAATTTCCCTCTTCTGTAGCATACTCCATTTGAAATTAAATTTTAAATTAGTTTCTTATTGTCTTGATCAGGTGAAGGACTTTCAACACTTCATCGGTCTAGAAGTAGAGGAGAAAATCTAAGCTCAGTAGGAACTACAAGCAGATCATCTTCCAAAGGAAAATAGATTTGACATCTAGGAAACCCCCTTTTCTCAGTACCTGCTTGTTGCAGAGCTCTTGTTGCTGCAACTCACGCAATGATGGGACTGTTTTGCATTAGTGAAAACAATCTAAACCATACAATTTCCACTTGATAAAGCTGATACAACTTTTAATCTGCTCAGAGATGTAAATCGTGTATATTTTATACTGTCTTGTCTTCAATTGACACTCTTGCAATAATGTTGTATACAAAGTGGTTTTCTGACATTTCAGAATTAATTTTTATTATGTATTATTAACTTAAATAACCTTACTGAAGTTTAAGGGTAGTGGTGCCGTTCCCTCCACAATTCATCGGCAGCTTGATCAGTGTTTTCCCAATTACAAACCAAAGTGCCCTGCTTACTTGCACTGAGCTGTTTTTGCTGCACTTAGTAACGATTTTTCAAAAAACAAAGATAAGATACATACATAGTTTAGTCCGTCCGTTTGGTCCTGTAAACACTGTCCACTCAACTTTTGTGATAGCATGCAGGACTTCATTTTTTTTACATGGATTTTTTTCCTTTTTAGTGTTGGTTACCTTAATTTTTTATTTTTCTCAAAACTCCTTGTGGGTCAGCCATATTTGAGAAAAAGTGTAAAAATGGGTCCAATCTCTATAATGCTGGGTTACTTTTATTTCTTCACACCAATCAAAAATGTAATCCAACTATGGTTTGAGATTTATTCATGCTTACATAAATCTCATTGCGATTGCTTACTGCTTCTGGTGATATTCTAATTATCTACAGAGGTATTCTTTCTGTGTTGGTCATAGTTCCATAATACACAAATAATTCTTTAATTTTTGAAGGCATTCATAGGATTAAAACAGTGGATAGCAGACCTTTACCCTTACTTTCTCTTAAAACAATGTCTTTCTTCCGCTGCTCTTGTATTTTTCTTCCTTGAATGAAATGTGCTCTGCCTAACAGTTGCCAAAATCTTTGAAATGAAGTGCTGCCTGTACAGGATTTTTTTTTTTTTTTTTTTTTTTTGTGATTTATAAGAGTTGTTTTACTGAAGCATAGATGAACTAGGCACCAACAGGACTGTTATATTATGAATTGATATGTAAGTGATGTACATAATTTCTTGTAAGAGTATTGAGGTAATTTCTTTCTGGTACAAATTGTGTTTTTGTTTGGGTTGTAGCATAGCACAGAAAAGTTCCTTCATGTTTTGATGGTTTTGATCTACAGCATATGCACTGCAGTGGCTTTGATCACATTTGAGAGTTAATATGTACCAGTACTTCATTGCAAATTCTAGATATGTCCCCTGGGTTGCTTGTTTTTAATTTTAATCAGCTGTTGAACTAAGAGAAGTGGTCAATTTTAATTTAATTGTTGACCTTACATGTACATGTATTGCTGTTTTTAGTCATTTTACAGTGTAGACTCAATATCCAAAAGTAAATTCTATGTAGCATGTCTTGCATATTCGCATTTTGAATCCTATTCCGTGGTAAAGTGTGATATACCTAGTATGCAAATTCTAACTTCTGCATTTTAAACTTTCAAGTGTCCAACAGTTTGTTTCAACTGTGTAAAGCATGGCTGTGTCGGTGGAGTTTTCTTTTTTTGTCCCAGGTATGCTTGGCACAAGTCATTTGTAAGATGTGAATAACTATTTAGCATACTGTTTCTTTTTATTTCTGTTTAAAGCTGCCACAGTAATGATTTTCTCTGTTTTCCAATTTGTACATTTGTGTACACAGGTACTCAATAGATATAGTTTTACTTTGTATATTTAAAAGCCCGTGACTTAGTCTAGGAGAGTCATTTTTATGCTGTGTGTTAATTCTCTTTGCTGGATGCAGTTTGTGTGCAGAACTAGTGTACAGCTTTTTAAACTGATTATTATCTAGTCTTGTCAGCCTTTCTTAGATACCAATAATTTGGTAATGTTGGGAAATTTTCCTTGTACTGTCTCAATTCTTAACTGCTTTTATGCACTAGTACAATAGCTATTTTTTGTCATTCCTTTAAACAGTTCTGATTATTTAAACATAAAACATATATATGATATTAGAGTGGTCAGTATATTTTAGCTGGTACTTACTTCCACATTTGTGCATAAATTTGTAGGTTCTGGCCAAGTTAACATTACTTTCAACTGTTCGTGTTTCTCAATGGGTTAGGCTAGAGTAGTGTAGTTAAAATAGCAGCCCTTCTTTCTATTTTACAATGAGGGACAGAGTATTAGATGTTATTACAAATGATAAACTGACGAAAGCCAAATTATTACCCGCACCAAAAGATATGAAAATTTTGATGTCTCTTTGAAGTTGAATGTTTTAAATTATCTGATCCCGGCGAAGATATTGTGTAAGTGACAGTCCTGTTGTATTAGCTTGTCAGTTTACCAAGTGAAGTGATGTTGCTGAGCCTAGAATCCATCTGTTGTTGAGAACTATATTCTCCAAGTTTGCTGCTGGAAATTGTTTGCTGTTAATTCATTTTCATGTACTTTCAGTAATTATTTTACGTTGTTTTATTTAATTGTAGTTTCAAAGTGGACGGGTTTAAGTAGCATGTTGTTGTTTTGATATGTTATTTGTTTTGTGTATTGTTTAATTTCTGCATAGGGAGACATTTCTTGTGTTGGAAGTGGTTTTCTGTGATAGTGTTTTATTTACATGTCTACCAGCATGTGAACTCCTGCAGGAAAACCATGCATTTGAGAAGGTGTAGGATAAATTAATTTACTGATACAGAACTGTTTACAACAAACACTTGCATCTTTTCTTAATTAAAAACTTGAAATATTTTGTTACTTTATTGCAATGTAAGAAATCTGGCTGGGCATAGTTCTATATCTTTTACACTTGTTATGATTCTGATACTATCAGGTTCTTTGATGTTTTTTTACTCATTTTTAACTGACAATGAACAGGCTCCATTTAAAAACCTATGATTCCATCCTTTCTTTGACTTCTACTTTTAAAAGAGGTTGCCTCTTATATTATTGTCCATATACCTGGCACTCCCATAGTTATGATTGAATGTTTAAAAAAATTCTTGTAATAATGATGAAATTCAAGTACTTTTTGAATGATTGAGTGGTACGGTATAATTTTAAATCAAGAGTTATTAATCATTAATTTCATTCCAATGAATTGTGGGTAGTGATTTTTGTTACGGTTGACCTTTACGCTATTTTTGGTATTGTGATAATTGTGTCTTGAGAATGGTTGAAACATTTTTTCTTTTGTTGAAGTGTTACAAAGTTAATTGTGCCATTAGCCCTTTCTGTTGGCAAAGTGAAGTTGCCCAACGTTTATTTTAAGTTGACCATGTGGAAATTTACAATTTTGTTTTAAATTGTTGACTTATTAACATGTGGTATTTTTAGTTTTATGGCAGACTTAATTAAGAATACTTTCAAACAAAACAGAGGACGAATGAGGCACCACTTTTCATTAACAATACAATGGCATATCTTTTTTGCCCTCATGTTGGGTGTGCATTATTCTGTAGTGTGACAAAAATGTGTCAAAAATCAGGTAGCTTAAACCGAATGGGATTGACCTTTACAGTAGATAAGTTTTTATTTAAATTTCCATTTAGCCCTTTTCATTTTGATATTCAAATCTAGACACCACCCTGCACTAGAAAATAGCCCTCCATTTAATAGTCTTCTTGTAGATCTTTAAAGCCATAAGCTTTGGTACTTGGCTTTAAATAAATTTGCCCTGGTTCTGATTTTGTGACTTGTTTTGGAAGTATTCAGAACATAATACAAATTGATTTGCACAAGGAAGTATCCATGTACAAAATGGCTGATGTCAGAGTCAACATTTTGTTGGTTGTGTTAGAAATATTGTCGTGACCTTAAGCTCTGTTTTATTTCTGCAGCACGGTAAAAGCTGTCCAGTCTAGCGACATTTTATTTTAGTAATATTCAGCTGTGATTAAAATATTTTAAGTCTAGGCATTATTTATTATTTTAGGTGTTATTTTAAGTGTTACAAACCAATTGGTAACGAACTTGGAACTAACCACCGTATTTGCAGTGGTCCTGTTACAATCTTTATAATAATGTTCCTATCAATGTTCCATTGTGATGTTGGGAGCACAGGATATGATGGGTGTATTTTCCCAATGAGTGCTCTGTAAACTTATTTAGGAACAACTAACCATCGTGAATGAAGAAATGAGCTCTCATGAAGGGCCTCTTTAATCCATCCCATACATTTTTTTCTCTTTAAGTGTGAGTGTGTATGTGAAAATTGGATTGCTGAGTTCCCTGCTTTAAGGTGCTTCACATCCCAATTTACTTTCAGTCATAAATTATGTGAGCATTAAGACGTTTTGTTATTTGCTGTTGTTTTTGTACATAAGTTTCAATACACACCATTTTAATGCACTGCTTTGAAAATCCTTGTTTTATTTAACTGTCTATCTACTGGAAACTTGTACAGGTCAAATGAGGGGCACAGAATGATTCGGAGGAAATACACACCAAACGAATTATCTGGCAACAAATTTATTTTTGGTATGCTTTGGGACCTAAACTTTGCCAAGTACATAGTACCTGGGCAATCTTAAACCAGTAGTATTGTGTGTCCAAATAATATTTTGAGGATATAACAAATACCTTGATGGCCTTCGAATTGCCTGCAAGGGGCTACTTTATTTATTTTTTCTATGGGATTACAAACAGTTTTGCAGGGTAAATGTAAAAGAAAACACAGATTAACCAGAACCTAATTCCAAGACCAAATGTCATGAGTAAAATAAAAGTACACTTAAATACTTAAAACTCTCAACAAAAATAACAATAAATATCAAGATTGTCTCTCTATATTACATATCCATATACCTTCCAAAAAACAAGACCTAAAACTTTCGAATGACAAATAATTATTTGGAGCATAGGCACTAACTGCTCTTGCTAGTCATGGCAGCGCAGCCCTTAAACTTCTGCTACTCTAAAGAATAACATTCATGACAGAGGCACCTCTACCTAATAGTTCAGTAAAGTTTCTGCTACAAACCACTTACTGCACAAGACTCAAGTCATCCATAGGAAACACAAAAACCTTAACCAGAGAAAGACAATCCCATTTCGCAGGGCAAAGAACTAATTTTATACCAATCAAACTTCACACCTAACAAATCTATTTTAAGAGAAATTTATGTTCTGGGAGAATAGGTGGAGTCAACAAGACAAGTGATCATCGCATTTGTAGCAATGATTTTGGCCGCGATTGGGGTATGAACGTGAACTTACCACTTTCAACAGCCCATGGACGAAGCCACACGACAATACACCCTTTTCAATAAATAAGCATTACAAAGAAACTTGAGAAGGCACAATTACAATCATCTCATCACCTACTAGATTAGAAATGCACTGCTATCACAGAACATAGATAGAATGGAATGGAGGACATTCAAAGAAGCATCTGCATTGAACTACCTATAAGATAAAAAATATCTCAAGTTCACACAACAGGCACAGCTTAGGTACAGTGATGATAACATTGACCACAAACACTACTCATGTTCACAACATGTTTCAACTGCCTCTCTCCTTTATAAGTGTTACAGGTAAAGTCCGGGTGTCAGGATTCCCTGGCCCCGGTAGAGTATGTCCGTTTGGGACGACTGAAGCCGGGCATTCACTAGTCAATGTTGGCCATGTTGGACATTCACTGAAAGCAGTCAGGGAAGGTTCGAAATCGGACTTTAGCTGAGAGGGGTGGCCGGGAAAAAACCCTTTCTCTCAGGGGCTTTGCTGGGGAAACGAACTTTTCTGGAGGGCAGGGCTTCGTGATGTGCAACTGCACCGCAAGCAGGTGCCGAGCGGGCACAAGGTGCACCCGCAGAAGGAACAACCAGCTCTGTAGGTCTAAGTGCCACCAAGACAAACCCAGCTGCCTCAACTGCCCCACTGCTAATTGTATAAACCCCCAACCCACACCCACAATACCTAAACTTTTATTCCCAACATTCCCGGCCACCCCTCTCAGATAAAGTCCGATTTCGAACATTTCGTGACTGCCTTCAGTGATTGTCCAACATATCCAACGTTGCCTTGTGAATGCCAGGTTTCAGTCGTCCCAAACGGACATTCCCTACCGGGGCCAATGAATCCGCACTCTCACTAGGGAATTCAGACATTCCCTGACACCCGGACTTTACCAGATAAATGACAACTTCAGAGCTTATAAATATTTGTGCAAAAGAAAAATAAATAATTAATCACAGATTGCATTTCATTGAGTGAGGGCTTTCAATATTCTAAAACCATTAGAATTAAAATCTAATATCAATTTTTGGGAAGTTCTATTATTTTATGATGTAAGGTATAGGTTTACCTAGTCTAGAACATTTCATGAGCATGCAGTCAAACATTTCTGTTAACATTTTTATAACTAGTTAAAGGACTAAATCAACTTACATCAGTCATCTAAACTCATTGAAAGAAAAAAGGAAACAATTTTTAGATTCCCCAGACCCTCAGCTATTTTTCTTTCTATATCCACTGTAGCTTGCCAACAAGTTCTGCACTTCTAGCTCGCATACCTCATCCTAAAAACATACAAAAACAATTTAAGAGAATGAATTTACATTTACAACACAAAAATATTCAATGCCTTACCTCACAACTAGTGACAGAAATAGCAGCAGCATCATCCAACCAATGAACAGCTTCTGCATAATTATTCTGTGCTATATAGCATTTGGCAAGGAAAAGAGAGTTTTCTTTCCAAGGTGTAGGATTTAGTTTGTGAGCAGCTTTAAAATCTTCAATAGCTTCAGGTAAAGTAGCAGCAGGAACTTCAGCAAAGAGTGTATTGGCAACTTTTCGTTCTATCCATGACAAATTTGCCACCTAAAGAATTGCATTTTTTCATTAATGTGTATGCACACTAAATTAAAAACAATGAAAAACAGAGCAAGGCTACTTACCTCATACTTGAAGCGACCAACAAGATGTCGCAAAGAGGCATCCTCAGGTCTAAGAGTTATGGCTTTTTCAACGTGTGTTTTAAATACATAACCACCCTCAATTTTTTCTTTCATTCCAAGGTAGTCACCATACGCGCCAGTCAAAATAGCAAACCATTTGTGGGCTTCAGCATCATTGCTGTTAATGTCTAATGCTTGCTTTGCATAATCCAAACCTGCAAAACATAAGGATTTTCAGTAAACTGTATATGATAAAAACCCGCAGAGCGGTAAAGGGGGCTGCTGTGTTGTTTTATGAGCTACCCTGGTATTAACTGCGCAAAAAAATACACCATAAATGAGACAGTTTAGAATATAATCATTTAGTACAGCAATTATTGTTTGGGGCATGGCAAAATCCTGTTTATATGAATATTACTGGTCAAACCCCAGGCCCAACCAGTAAATCACTTTCACTGCTGGTTGTTCCAACTGCATACAAGTACACACCTAGGTTTTCAGAATAGTCGCCCACCTAGCTTAAGTCATTTAACATAAAAATATTATTTCCAGAACAATTCATAAATTTTGGCTTACCTTCCAGAATGAACTCCTTTTTCTGATCCATGTGACCCATAGCAGCACATGCTGTTCCTAAGCCATGACAGCACTTAGCTAGGCGCCATAAAATACCAGAGTTTGCTTCGTGCTGAAATTATAAAATAGACTTTCAAACAAACCAAAGAGATCATTTAACACATTGACAAAATGCAAACGCGAAATACTTTGGACAAATAAGCTGTCAGTTTAGAATAAGCCTCCCTGCGGCTTTCAGAAGTTCCAGTCTTCAGAAGAACATCTACATTCTCTATTAAAGACTTCAATGCCTCATCTACAATACCAGGTGTATCATTATCACTAAAATAAAAAGAGAAAAAACTTTCAGTGTTAAGTAATTCCAGTTAAAGATAACAATTTGGATTTGGAAGTACATAGTAAAAAGCTTACAACTCATCATCCCCACCAGAGGATAGGTCAAAAAACTCATCTTCTTCGGAGTCGTAGTTACTAACAGTTCTAAAACTACGAACAGAACGTGTAGGGGAGCTTCTCCTAGAACTTGAGGAACTAGACTTAATTTTCCGCAACCTGCAATATGAAGCATTTGTGAGATAAAACATAACAAAAAAATGCATAGAAAATTAATTAAAAAATACATTCTGCCTACCTGGCAGCTTCTAGTTCTGCTCTTAACTGGTTTACAGTAAGATCAAGTCGTGATATTTCTTGTTGTAACAAAACACGCCGTCGAGATTCATAGAAATAATTCCACAAAACAACACCAGCAGCACCAAGGACAGCACAAGCTCCAAGAGCGATTGAAATAACATTGCTAAAAGAAATAGAAATCCATCACAAATAGATTAAGAATAGAACATTAAATGGTCAGCTCACACTAGAGCATATTATAAGAGTTGGTGATATTTTTGCTTGATAGTAACATAATTTCTACAGTTTATTTCTACATTTAAGGTTAAGTTAGGAAAGTACAATTATTTTGAGTATGTTACCTTTGTTGGTTCATTGTCGTAAGCTGAAAACTTTCACTAACAGGTCTTAAATATTTTATTTCTAGGGAAATAATTTCAGTCGATTGGTTGATTGAAAGGTATAAACATTGTCAGGTGCTATGCCCCTTTTCAGTGGTTAGACCTTTGATTCGAAGTAAAAGTAGGCAGGCAAACCTTTGGCCATTCAATTTAGCATTCTAATTTCCCTTTCTAAAAAAAAGAAAGGTCAACGGTGCAAAGGTGGTTAATGACTTTATCGGCCGAGTGTGTATCGGTATCGGTATCGTCAGAATCATGTACGGCCACGGCCGAACAACACACACACGCGCCCGCGCACACACACACTCAAGGGAAGTGGAAAGGGAGGGGGGTTGCGGGAAGCGCGCGAACGAGCGAAAAGAATTCAACTTTCACAGCTTTTAAGCTGATTTTCAACAAGGTGGTTCTCGACAACAAACTCTAGCACAGAAAAAGGAAAAGTTTTCTTTGAGATGGTTCTGTGTGCCTTTCTTCATCTTTTTCAGTTCTTCGATAAGGAAGGCGAATCGCGTTCGTGAAAACATCAAAACATCAATTCGAATGATGGCGTGCGGTTTGCCTACCCATTATAAAGGTAAGATGCTTTCTGTTCCATGATATTAATTCGTCTTATATCGTTTGTACGTAAAGGCAACTTCGTAAATCTATTTCACATTTGTTCAAAATCTAGAAGGGAATTCCCTAAAATTAACTGGAGTTCAGCTTTACATTAAAGTCAAAATTTCCTTGGAAAAACAGAAGCACTTTTTTGAAATCAGAGGTATATTTTTCTTGGTGTACGATGGTCAGTCATTCGAGCACAGAAAAGAAACATGACCTTCGGTTCTGGCTGGCAAGTCAAAGAACCGATATACCTTGATATACCGGAGACCCCAGCCCGACAGGAGAAGGGAAGAGGAAAAGTCGGACCTAAGCCTGGGTCTGACTGGACGTCGCGCATGTCTAGGCGGGTGGCCCACATACCCCGGACAATTTTGTAGCTATGCAGCACCGCATGCAGCTGTGCAGGGGGGCTTGCCTACCGTCCCTCAGAACGGCGCCTTAACGGCGCCTTGCGAGGAGGCAACGCGCCCACACGTCTGCACGCGGTACAGTATAGCTAGAGTCCTAGCTCTAAGTATAGAGTAGTAGCTAACTACGAAATTGTCCGAGACAGTCTAGTACTTTTGAACCCCACGTCGATGTCGCGTGTATATGGTTCAAAAGTTGCACTAGACCTATGGCCTGTTTCTTTACTTGGCAATTATCATTATTTACATCTTTGCGGCTATGGGACACTTATTTTCCGTTCTCGACGAAAATATACGTGAGGTACCGGTATCATTCCGATACAAAATTAAGGCATGTGAATGTGAACGAACACCTTAAGCCTTGAGCGACGCGTCGCCCTTCTCCTGCAACCAACAATACGTTTAGCTCCGCCTGCTGGCCTGCTCCAGTAGGTCCAGCACCGCGTGCCCAGTGCGTGCGAGATGCGGGGTCAAGATCAGATCCACAATCTTTCCAGTGTACTCCAGGGTGTTTGTCTCTGTCTCACGCCTCACGTCCCCCACCTCCGGGATCTATCCGTCTCACCTCCAAGCGAAACGCCGCTCAATTAAGTTAGGGCATAGGCCGTACATGAGATCAGCCCCACGGCTTTATCGTGTTCAAGTGGCAATTTCAGGTGTTGGTCGTAACTGGGTAGTTGAGTCGTTGCTGCTGCCTATGGCATCTGCCTGCTGGACACTGACACTGCACACCCGGCAAGGCAAAAGGCAAATAGGAGACAAGGGGGTAGTGGTAGTTGAAGAGCGTGACATATTTGAAATGAACGCCCTGCCGCGCTACTTGAAGCCTTCGTGCAAAGATGCGTAATTCGTGATTCTGGACTCGGCACCCGACACTCGATGGTAATGTTTTGTCTTGTCTCTTGTCTCAGCCTTTCACGTGAATACATATCTGTCGCCGAATGGAATGTTTGTAGTCATTTACTGAAACATTTACGTTGACACGGTTTGTAAATAGAGTTGTTGATTATGGAAGTGTTTTTTATTCTATTGGTAATTTCCTCGTAAATCGCATCTATTTGGAAAAAGTTAGCCGGATCACGGGGGTTAGGGCCGTTAGGCACCATTTGCGCCCATACTTAACCTCTCAAAAGTGTACTGTGTGGAGTTTAAGTGGCGAAAACCAAAATTTAACGATCTCATCTATCTTAACTTGAAATTTTAGGGAAGTGTTGGGATGTACAGACTCCTAACTTTTAGAGCATTTGAAATTATTTAGTTAATGTTGTTCTTACATCTGCAAACTTTTATATAAGAACATAATATTTATGATCCTTATACTTTTATTATTTATTGCTCACTGTTTGTGATCAACTTGCATGTAATTTAAGATATTATTCTATGCTTTGCAACTTATTACCAGTTTCAGTAACAATTTTTTCCTTTTTTTCTCAAAAAATAAAAATAAAAATTACAGATTACCAAGGAACTATCAATTTCATTTTAAAATACCAGAATTTGAAGAAACATCAAAATTTTCACAAATTCAACGTAAAAGAAATTATGATTTAAAAGTTATCAACTTAGTCGATCGTAAAGTGAACAATCTTGAAGACCTTCAAAATTTCTTTTTATCACATGACTTGAAAGAAATCAACAGACATGTCAGGACAGTTCCCTATCCACCAATCAGGTGGAACACCTGTCACAGTCAATAATTATTCCAGCTGGAGTCAACCACATCAGCAGCCTCAAGGTATACAGTTAATAATTTATTATTAAAGATCCAAAATTGTTTTGTGCTACACTCATAGAAATTACATTATTACTTTCCTCTGTTTCAGGACTTGGTGTATCCCCTGGAACTCCCCACTCACCAGTGCCTGTATTGCCACAGCAACCTCACATACTTCCTTTGCCAGGTTCCCAACCAAAAGCAATGAAGTTTTCTAACATGCCAATGAATGGCTCTGGAGGGCACCTGCCTGCTACTGTAATAAATCAAAGCAACCCTTCATTAACAGAAAATTTACGACACAGTCTTCAAATGTACATGAATCAAGGAACAGGACCCTCTTCAAAGAACTCCACTGTTAACTCTCCAGTAGTATCAACAACTGTTCCTAGTGGCTCCAGCAGAATGGATGTTAAAGACCAGAGCCAGCCTGTCCACAGTTCTTCTCCCCAACCAAACCAGAATCACACTGTGATTTCAAGCATTGGAGTGTCACCTTTGTACAATGGTGAAATGCAGTCAAGTACTGCTGTTAGTGTAATTGCTAATGCATCCTCACCTTGTAAGGAGTTAAATTCAACTAGCCAGAATGCTATCATGATTTCCAATCGTGGAGACTGCAAGACAGTGTCTGCTGTTGATAGTTTGGCAGTGAAGCAAGAAGCACCGTCTGTGACTGAAGTTCATCTGTCCACAGATAAGGTTTCTCCGAAATCAAGTGACATTCCAGAACCTCCATATAAGATTATGAAAGTGGAAGACAATGTGAAATGTGTAAATAGTTCAGTCATTGTAGGGTCTACTTCTTCAAGCACCCAAGATTATGTGATGCAGCAAACCAATCCTCAAAGCTTAACAACTCCATCAAATCAACTCTCCACCCCAAATCCCAATTCTTCCAATAAGCAGGATGCACTAGATGTTGAATCTCAGCTAGAAGCTCTCTTTGCAGGTATTGGTGATGATGGTACATCTGGTAAAAGTCTTCAACCTGAACCAGTTTCATCATCAAATCTTCAGGGCACCCCAAATGTTGCTGCAGTACTTGAAAGTAAAGGTTCGACAGGGAAGAAAGGTAAAGGAAAAACAAATGGTATGTGTGGCACGTCATCTACTGAGAGCTCACCAAAGAAAAAACGTAAAAAGAAACCTATCAAACCTTGGGAAGAGAAGAAAAAGAAAAAAGCAGGACCAAACAAAAGCAAATATGTTAAGGAGGCATCATGTGACAGCGGCAGCAACACGAGCTCCAGTCGTGTCAAAGGGCCTGTTGTACACATTGAGGGGACTAGGGGGGCTCCCACTGCACTTTCAGTTGTGAATGCACCATCAAGACAGGATGATGAAGACAATGACAACAAAAAGAAAGCTTTATCTTCTAATAGGATAGGGAAAATTCGGACTGTTGAAGGTAGGTTGCCATTTAGAAAATGACTTTTAGTTTGTTTTATACAAATGTATGTTGATTAACCTTTTTACTGTTAAAGGTAAACTATCCAGCTCTGGACTCTGTGGTAATTCCTTGGTCTCAAGATATGAAGCTCATTCATCAGATCCTCGATGGGTGTGTGTCTTTTGTAAAAAAGGCTGTCATGTAGATGGTCTCGGAGATTTGTTTGGTCCCTATCTTATAAACCATGATACTGAATTAGAGAACTCATTGGATTTGGATGCAGAAAGTGACCGCAAAAAGGATAAAAAGGTACAAGTTGAATTAAAAAATATATGAACAAGCTATTGGCTATTTACTCTAATATTCTCTTATATTTTGTGTCTTCTTTAGATAAAACGCAGTGGAATAGGCCAAACGGGTGTTTATGGTTTGCTTGCAATTCCACCTCTTTCTGGTGAACAAGCACAATTTATGGTTTATTTTCATGAAAACTGTGCTGTTTGGTCACCCTCTATCAACCTCATCGGCTCAAGGCTTGCTGGTGTTCAAGAAGCTGTGTGGGTAGCTGTTCGATCTGTAAGTTTCGTTGCCTAAAATTTGTTCACTATTCTCTGACATATTTTTCATGTTACTGTAATTTTAAGGTAAATCATGTTTATTGTGTTGTTTCCCACTCTTTGTAGAAGTGTAGCCGATGTTTAATGGACGGTGCTAATATTGGATGCCTTTATCATGGCTGTACGATGCAAGTTCACTATCCCTGTGGAAGAGAAGTAGGATGGCATTTAGATGAGAATACTTTTATTAGTACTTGTCACATCCATAAGGTGGGTGCCTCAAAAATTGCTCTTCCTTTGACCTTTCTTCCTTGTATCCAAATTTAATGTAGTTGTTTTCATTTCAGAGGATAGAGCAAGCAACACCGCTAGCCAAAGCCCCAAATTTATGAATTCAGTAGTATCTACTACTAAATATCTGACTCTAATTGATATATAGTGCATCATACTCTGACAAAAATAATTTTTAAAATTTTAACTAGTTAATACCAATGGATTGTGAGTGGTTTCCCTGCCTTTTGTCAACCCTTGTTGAGTTGGTTTGGTCTTTGTAATTTTTATGTGTACAGTTATACTTAATTTATTTGCTTTTAAAAAAAAAATCTGCCGCATATTTTTTATGATAAATGAAATGGTTATTCAAATCATGTAGAAAGAAATCTTTTTCCTATTCACTTGCATAAAAATATGTATAGGCTGTTTAAAGTGTGTGTGATACATAGAACTTTTAATTCAATTCTAGGGATGTCTGTAATTTATAAATTTTCCAATGAACTCATGTAAACCTGTTAACCAGTTTGCTTCAGTCCTTGCAACAAATTTGTTTGTATTGTTTTGGGCCTGGTGATACATTTTCTTTAGATTTGTTGTAAATATAAAATGAAATGTAATTGTATTTTTGTAAATTGTGAAGTTTGTGTCAGCACAGCTTAATGGCAACTTTGCAGTTTTTCCACGTAAAATTCTCAAATTAGTCAATGTTAATGAACTTACAGTGCTTAGCACATCTCATCATCATTGAATCTATCAGAGCAATTCAGATTCAGAAACTTCAAATTTAATCAGAAAACATGTTCCCCCTGGCTATTCATTTAAATTTGCCTAATAATATTTATTGACTTTTTTCTAAAAGAAGTTCAAATAGACTTAAGTGAATTGCTCCATTAAAACATCACCCAGCGTTTGTCATCTTGCATAATATTTCCATAAGTATTAATTTGGAATTGGATTTAGATGCATTGCTCTGAAATGTTGTATTAAAACACCATGTAACTTTGGTGTTAAATGTGGTACTTGTTCCTTTGAGTCAATTGAAATACAAAACCGCAGAAAGAACTAAAAAGATGAATACAGTAAAGCTTTTTATTTGAAAACTGTAAAACCATACATCAGAACAAGTGAAGCACTGTAAAATCCCATTCTCAACAGAAGAAAAAAGAAAGAAACTAAATGTGGTATACCACGTGTATCCACCAGTAAGTGGTACTGTCTAGCTCAGAAAGGAATGATTGGGGGTAATCATCAGTTACGTGTCCCCTTGAATTTTCTACATTTAAAGTGGCTATTCTAAACATTTGGTGTCCACAAAATTGTGAGTGCCCATTCACTCTGTAGAATCACCCTCACCCACTTTAATTCGACTGGGCCGCCTGAGTGGTAGCAGTGTAATTTATTTTCCAATCTCAAAATCGGTAAACCGAATACCTCAAAAACTGTAGTTCAGTGTCCTATATCCTCATCCTCAAATTGTGCACTTTATTCAAAGCCATAGTCATATTTGGATTTGGGCCAGTGTATTTGGACCCTATTGAACACTTCTAATGGAAGATGGCGATAAGGGTAGTGCTGAGCACTTCCCTGCCATTTTGATATGTGTTCGAAATGTTACTTACAAGTATGTATATAAATAATGGAAGATTTAATGTCGGCCCCTTTGGAAGGAGGACCTCTCCTACTGAATCTCTCAGAAGTACAGCAGAGGAAAAAAAATTACATAGTTCACTTTCATTAATTTTATTTTTCTAAAATGTTAACACCAATCTCACGACAAGACAGTGAAGTGGAATGTAAGGGTAGCCTGATTGGTACAAATGTAGTCTGTTTTATATGCAAATTATTACAAAGAGAAAATTAACTTAAATACCAAAAGAGAAACACATTTAAAAAAATCATAGAGCTAAACTATATGCTTCACAACCATTTGAAAAATGAGTACCAATAAAGTACAAACCTTAAATAGAATGACATCTTTACAGTAGTCATGATAAACCCATGAAAATATAATTCAGCTGTTAACAGCAGAATGAGCATGATTGCCATTACAGATACCCTGGGGTAAACACAGTTAGAATTGAGAAATGCCTGTCTTTCTGGAAGGCTCGGCCGTTGAGCCAGAGAGGTGATTTCTTTTTGACCATAGTAGTTCATATAACGAAGGAAAAATCTTACTCTTGCATTATGTAATAATTAAAGCAATAAAAGTACGTAGTTTCCATGTATAACACCCTAAAAACATGTATCTGGACCAGCAGAGTACATTTTATCTTAAATCTGTTGTTGTACTTCCTCACCAATGGTTCCAACCTGAGAAAACAAAACATTAGAAAAAAATGTTATACAAAGAAGTTTTTAAGCTACAGCTTACACATTAGCAAGCACATCATAAGTTTTCTATCAAAAATGCAAAACTCTAATGCTTATTGATTTCATATCATCATACAACACAGACATTTTCTTATTAGAAATCAGAGGTACCTCTCTCTTTTATGACAGTGAAAGAGGGTTTATGAGAAACAATTGACAGGTATTAAAATCATCAAATAAAAATATACCAAGAGAACACAGAGAAAATGTCTCACAAATTTCATGATTTTCATTGTTTTTTAACATGACAGAAAAATCTACTGTATATTTTCATCAAAAGATACAAAAATACCTACATCAAATCTACATTAAATTGATTCACAAGAACACAGAAAAGCTGTACTTGTGCAATAGATCACATATTTGGCAACAAAAAATTCTTGAACTACAGAGTAACAACCCCTCAGTTTAAAAAAGACGTTTTTTTTTCTGTTTGCAAACATGTAAAAAAAATCCAAGAATTTGATTGTTTTAGACTGATTAAAAGAAAAAAATAAAGTGACACACGAAAAAAAAAAGAAAAAATCAGATGTCTCCAAAATCATAAAAAGATTACTCAGTATTTTCTTTAGAAGCCATAGAGAGGTTTTACAGACTTCTTACTGCTATGATTAATCTAGTTAATAACATTTAAAAATAACCTGAAACAGGCAAGCAGGTACATTCATTCAGACAAAAAGTCATTGTATTAATTAAACTACTTCTCCTGCACACACATTTCCACCTAATTTCTTTAACTGTATCTTAATTCCACACTCATTGTACTTCGTTTTTTTTTCTCTCGTTTTTTTGTATTTTTAAATGTAGATGCTGGTTTAGTCATCTACACCAGGAACCTTCCATTGATGCTGATTGCCCACTCTGTAGAGATCAATTAATGTTTCCTTGAGATTTCCTTGAGAATCAATTTCTTTGTACTTCTTGTATAGCTGAAGAGCAGCTCTTGCATCCTCAATGGAATCATGAGTGACTGACTGAATTTTCATACCTAAAGAACAGAAAGAGAAAAAAGAAACACAAATGAATTAGGTGAGGTTTTGCCCCCTAAATACTCAATTAGATTTGCACAAAGAAAAGGAAAAAAAAAATTACCAAGAAAATGCCACGCTAAAAAGCGAAGGGAGATCAGCCTGTGATTCGGTAGATGGAAAAGTAAAACAGTATCCACCACTTGCTCTGGAGGTACAACCAAGTTGATAACTCTAAAAACATAATTCAAATGATGACCAGATTTATTTTAAACACGGAAAATAAAAGTAAATGTACTACATGAGTTACAGAAATGTTGATTGTTTAGAGAAAAAAATTGTCTTTATTATGTCAGTTTTCACTACTTCTCACCTGAAGTCATTTTTCAAACCATGACCAACAAACTTGACACCATTATCAACAAGAAATCTCAGTTTCTGGTATGTCGATTTAAGTGTTGTCAGATGTTTAGAGCTGAAATTCGCATCCAGATCACCAGGTTTAATTCCAGAGAATTTTGTGAGGTAGTCAACCACTTGTTCCTGAGTTGAGATGTAATCATCAATAAATGGTGTTCCTTCTTTAGGGCCTTGCCTGAAACAATAGATTAAACTTACATATCAAGCACAGACAGTATTAAGTTAGAATCAGAGAAAAATATTAACTGCACTCACCCTCGAATGCATGTGATCCGAGCAACTGATTTGTGTGAAGGTTTAACAGTTGAAACCTTGCCATCACTACGCAGTTCAGATTCTTCTTGATTTAGTGTGACAAACTCAGCATCCATGGCTACAAGCTCCCCTAATGAGATCATAATAATTTATGCACAAATCCAGGTTGATTTAATTAATTAATTTCTAGTGCATACTCAGCATAATACTCAAGAAAAACATAGACCCATACCTGGAGCTGCTATTTCATCTGGAGTAAGAGGAGTAAAAGTTATCATTTTTCGTGCTCCATTGTTTCTGGCAAGAGAGTTGTCTTCACTAAACACCTCAGCAGTGAGTGGATTGCTGACAGTAGGTATAAGTTCCTTAGGCAAGTCTCTACTTATCCAGAACAGCACACATGGTACCTTCCAGTCCAAACTAAACCAAATAGCTTCTTGTGCATTTACTTGGGTGATGCTAAAAGCATACAATTTGTTTAAAGGACAATTCTTAAGCTCGGCACTTTTCTTTACTGTTGTTCCTGCAGTACAACTTACCAGAAATCATTAAAAAGATACCAGCTGCTAAGTGATGCACCTCCTAAGCGAGAATGGTATCCTGAGCCTACATTGATTAATGAGATAAGATTTTTTCTGTCATCATTGACATGACACAAAACAGCAAAAAGATCATAGTTTGAAGACTGCACAACTTCCTCAGCCTGATTGGGGAGATAAGGAAAACAAATTACTCATACAATAGAAAGAGGTAAATACTGTAAACAGTAACAAAAAATTAATTTAAGCATTTGAAAATAAAAATCTACAAAACAGCAATATAAAGAAGAATTTTACCGTTTCTATTGGTTTTTCGGAAGGATCATTCAAGGAGTAGGCACGAACAGCACCATTTGAAAGGCGCTCCATGCATATACTAAGTGGTAACCATGAGCAAGTAGAATAAAATTGTGAGTTGGCATTGGATTTATTTTGAGCTGTTTCTTTATCTGTGAAGAAAATTAATATTCTTTAATTGCGAACAATTTATGCAAAATTTCTAAATGGTGTCATAGACTTACCCTGGCTCTGCCCTGGGTGCCGGAAGCGACAATTGGGACGGGTACAAGATGATCCATAACGGCAAGCTTTGGTAGGTGAACTCTGAGGTTGATTCAAAGAATTTGTCTCACCACCATTTTTATCTATCATTTTTTTAACTATGAGATCTGTTTGCGTTTGCCAAAATGCTTTATCCTGCAAAAAAAATGAAGTTTGACAGTCTAGTTCTAAAAAGAGGAGCAGCATTCAGTAATTGACAACTAAGATAAGAATAATTACTTTGGGATTATCCAAGTTACAGTTAATGGACAATATGTGTGGAAGCTGTTTGAGTCCTCGACTCTGTTTTGTGGGTTGAAAGCGGTCACATGAATCACACCAAGCAGGCGTTACTTGCTCAGGACAGAGACTTTGTCCTAATATTTGGCCAAATGTATATTGCACACCTGAAATCCGTCTTAAGAAAGTTACTATACGAAGTTATTAAAAAGAAAAAAGGAGATAGTCAAAAGAAAAATTACCTTCTTTGGCTTCTGGATATACAAGATTACACAAAAGCATCACAGATTCTTTGCTGACCTGTCTTCCACACTTTAAACAACGATGTGTATGAACCTGTTTGCTTCCTAGCAAACGTGATATCTCTGTGGTATCATCCTCATTTTCTTTATCACGGGTAACATCAAAGGGGGCATCATGAGCAGAGGAAGGTTGAAGGGGAGTAGCACCATTAGTTAATGGAGTGTCTGAAAATGTGGAAGGACGCATTAATGCCCCTAAGTGGATAAAGACTACCGGTAATAATAATAATACAATGATCAGTATAAGCTCGGTATAGCGTCGTCGTTTATAGTGTCATGCCGCTTTTAGCGTCGGTTTTTCCGTACAACCGATGTAGGAAACGCTAACAAATTCCGCCGCGTTTAGCGTCGGTTCTTTCGAGCAACATCCACTGACGCTATATCGAGCTTATACTTGTAACAAGAGGACAGTTAAATTAGTACATATGTATGTATTATTGGACACACGATAAAATACCCAGTAAATGTGGGCCGAATTTTTTTAAAAGCATGACACAGAAAGCTATTACTACATTGAAAGACCTGGCACATTTAAATCATTAAAGTTTACAACTTCTAAATGTAACTCAGCATTTACCACTTCAATAATAATACCATATAAAGTGAGAAGACTTAACAGTTTTATGTTTAACATGCAGCTATTGATCAAAAGCTAAAGTGAAAAAAGTCTACACTAAGACTACCTAGCCAACAGATTGCTTCACACTTTACAATGATAAAGCCTCTAAGCGTAAAGAAAATTAACTGAATTTTTAAATAGAAAAGTGGGGATTAGATCTTAAATGCAGAAGTAAGAAAATGAAACAGTCAACAACTATCCCAAAATTGAAATTTTAGAAAATAAACAAATTCAGCACCCTGCAGAAGTTAAAGGAAAAACTCTTAACAGAAGACAAAATAACATGCCTTACAGCCAATAATAACAAGGAGAGCCTACTTCATATTGCCTTTGTTATATACCTTGGTAATGTGAATAATAAGTGGTGCCAGTAGGAATCCACCAGTATCTGCTTTCATCTTGATATCCATAGATGTAAGGATCCATTTCCCAAAACTGAGATTGGGCTACACAATGTATGCGTACAAATAGTCTAATATTAGAATGTGGTCATTTGACTAGTACAGATAAACTACATTATGGCTATATTTTGAAAGGCATTTCACAATCTCTACTGTTTCATGTAATGTTGATGACCTCACAGATTATTTTTAGAACAAAGCTTAATCCCCAGCTTCCCTACTTTTTACTACACCACACAATTCAAAAAAGTGTTATTTCATTTCATCCAGTAGAAAAGCTTTGGCTTAGAGGTCTGTACGTCTGTCTACACATCTTATTCTATGCAACCTTTTTAGCCATGTTGAGGCCGGTAAGAGCCAGTCAACCCTGCGATCAGTTAAAATTGCCTCAAACTGTGGGACCTTGGGTGAGAAGGGGGTCAAGAGATCTTTCAACCACGTGGCAGAATGAGATGCAGATGTTTTACCAGTGCCACATTATTATGATTAAGAAAAAAGTATAATTGAAAAAGCAAATGCGAGGTGAGGAGATAGGTATTTCAAAATTTAATGGCTGTAGGGTTTGAAATATTTAGAATCAATAACGAAAGAAAAGAAATACTCATACCTGCAGTCTGTTGAACAACCATGACATCAGTTGAACTTCCAGCTTCAGTTGAAGTACTTTGTTGAAGTCGCCATTGCACATTGCTTGAAATGACAGGATTTGATATGCTAGGAAATTCTTGTTCATTATAAACAAAAGGGGGTTGAGCACCTTGTAATTTTTTCTGTTGTTTTTCTTTCAGAATTTCATTCTGTTGTTTTTTCACTTCTAGTAACTCATAATGCATTTGATGAAGAATAAACCGATTCCAGCTCTAAAACATGAATGTCCGGGAAATGATTAATGGATTGTTCTTTTTGTTACACATTAAATACATTGAAGATACCTCATACCTGAATAAGGCGGATTAGATTGGATTTGCTTTCAGGATTCTGGTCTGAAAGCAAGAGCCCCAAGGCATATGCTTCAGGGACAGTGCGGAATGCACGTTGGAAATTAGCAGCCTGACAAGGAAAACCATGTGACTTGTCAAGCATGTGAAACAGAAACCCTAGTTCACAAGACAAGCAAAACTCTCGTTGGCATATATGTGATAGTAGAATACATCGTATAGGCTCTAAAAAATAAAGTATCTGGAAAAAAAAAAAACACAAAAATTTAGCAAAATGAAAATTCAACATATACAAGATCCAAATATAGAAGATGCAAACCTGCAACATTGCATTGCAATATGAATTGGGGAGGGAAGCCTCCAACCCACAAAATGATGTGTTGTTGTATATATCAAAGTCAAAGTCATCCATTCCCATTCTTGTATATTTCACTTCAGTTTTTCTATAACGCTTAGGAATGGCAATAAATCCTGAGTCTTCCCCATTACCTTTCTGTCGACCATCACCTGAAGATGAACTGCCACCATTAACTAGGCCATTTCGCCTCTTCAAATCCATGTTGGACTCGTAGAGAACCTAGAAAAGATAAAATGACGAAGATTAGTTTTGACACTGGATCAGAATGCAGGCTTGGATGCAGGCACACTCACCTTATCCACACATGCTTACAATTAAGTTAATGTAAATATTATGTACTGACTATATACCAAAAGAGAAATGAAGACCTACCACATTTTCCCATGCTGTTAAAAAGAGAGCGAAAGGCATAACCTCAAGTATATACAAACTGATGAGATGAGTGATTTAAGCATACCATGTAATAGTTAAAAGTTATGATAAAATAAAGTCAGCAACTAGCTAGGTGTTTTCATGACATGACCTTTAGACCATGGTTCTACAATATTTCAGTTTATCATAATCACATGCAATTTCAGAAAATTTGAGTCTATAAAGTTGATTAACAGAAGCTGTGAGAAAAGCCATGTAAGTTTCAGGGTGTGTACAGAGAATAATGATGAAAGATTTTAGGAGGACTTTGGATACTTTTTGGAAAACAAAACAGAACAGGGGAAAAGAACAAATGAAATGACCATCACCCTACTCTAGAAATTCGGAGTTCAATGTATTGACATTCATGATGATTACACTCCAACATGCATAAATATGGTACTCATAAAGAAAATTCACATAACAATGCATTTATATCATATTCTCTATCCTTACACTCAGACAATATACGAAAAGAAAAGAAAAACTATATGGAAGTTTCAGATGAAACATAGACAGAGCAACAATATGTACACATGACCCCCAAAAAATAATTGAACTTGAAATGCTACATTCATGCACAGATTAAAAAAACAAACAACAACAAATATTAATGCAAAATGTACAGAAATTAGACAATCTTCTGCAAGTAAAGTTTATTTTAAACAGCTTAACAAACTATTACAATTAACACATGCAAGCAAACAACAAAGACAACAACAAAAAAGGAAGAAAAAAAGATAGAGAAAACAACAATAGATTTGAGTTTAAAATAAAACAATTAATACACTTTTTGGTTGAAACTGGACTGAATTCTTACTTCTGTAGGATTTGCGCCAAATTATTAAGGGGGGGGGGAGTAGGGACAGAAATGTCTGAGAGATAACTAAAGCTACACTTAACTTGACGCAAAAGGATAATTGTGACTAAAGTTTAAGTCAACACCTATGCGAATCAGTATAACTGGTTATTAAGTAAGGGTATTCAAGTGAAAATAGACATTATACAAAAGAAATGTTAACTAACTGTCATAGAATTGGAGAAAACAAAGGCCAAAGTCTGGGTTGGTTTAATGTTAAAGACTAATGATTTTAGGAACCAGATAAAAGAAAAACACTGTTAATGTTGTTTAAGGATCAGTGAGTGTGTATTGGGAGTATTCTGATTTCTAATTGCATTACTGATTTGACTAACAGTGCAATTTATGCAATTCCATCAAACAAAATTTATTTTATCTTGCAGGATGCATTTACAGCAAATGAAAGATCAGATTGTTGCAAAATATATGACAAGGAGGTGAAAGTATGAGCTTAATTTTTGCATATGATGAAAGCTGGCTTGCTAAGTTAGGCAGGAAAGGAAAAAAAAAAAATGAAAGCAGAGTGAAGATCAACAGAAGCAGGACATAGGACATTGCACCAGCACCAAATGACCCTCATCTGATAAATGTACTTACAATTAATCTAATGAATTAGTCTTATGAATGAGAAGAGATGTCAACTAGGACAATGGTATGTTTGCATAGATGTACAGACATGCATTTAATTCTGTAAGCCAGAGGGTTCTCCTTTCAACTTCCCCTTGGCAGCATATGGTCTTCTATGCATAGTTATCCCTCCCAGCCTAGGTGCGGAGGACGGGAAAGCAGAGGGAAAAATTCATGGGTCAACCCAATACCCCAACCATTACACTGAGAAATATGGCTCAAAGAAGAAACGAAAAAAACCCTTTATAAATTCTTTTAGGGAAAAGAACACATCCTAATTTGACCAACACCAACCTTGGCATAACAACCCCTTCCATTATCCTACAGCATGCTTTTCACAGCATGCGGTGCACAAGTACCACATCACCAAAATATTAATTTTCCTTCAGATTTTCAAAATTTTAACACAGTGCACCTGATTTGACACAGCACAGTTCAAAGTAGAAAAATTACAGATTATAGAAACAAAGTTTTACTTTTATTCAGCAACTACAGTACGTAGACTTTGAAGCTGGTCCTTTCATACAGACCATCAGTCTTCATTTTTAATTTTAACTTTTATCAAGCTAAAACTGTACTGTGTCAGAAAAAACAATTTGTCTGTCTTTAAATTAAATTCAACGGAGGGTCAGGTGCAAAAATATAAGTGGATGTGGAACTTACTGCGTCAATGTTCATAACGACAAAATTCAAAAAATATATTTGCACAGAAATTAGCGTGCACAAACTAAATTGATCATCTAAAGAATGTAATTTTATAACAAAACAACAGAAAAAAAGCTGACTTGACACTTTTGTACCTCTCTATGAGGTTTAAAAACCAACAAAAAAAAAAAAAAAGGAAAGAAGAAAAAAACCAAATTGATCTTCTAAAGAGAGGATCTCAAAATGTAAGATGCTCAGTCACTGGTTTCAATGCCTTGGAAATCATTGACTAAAATTAAATACATCAGAAAGATAGAGTAAAAAATGATCAACTGTGTCAATGAGTGAAGATAGAAAAGTTTTGACTGACACAATATCTATTTAAAAAATAAGTTCTCTTTAAAGAAAATTACCAATAGGCAATTGCTTTTAACAATAAGAAATGACACAAGTATTAAGGCATGAGATCCATAAGATTAAATAAAAAAAATCTTGAGACACCAAGTTTTGAAAAATTGAAAAGCTTATATGTGGATACAAATAGAAGCAGTAATGCAATATCTCCATATAGCATGTTGAGCACAGCAAGCACCCAGCTGCATAGTCAGTTGCTGCCTATAAATGGAGGTGGGGTCTCACTTGGTTTCTACGCCGAGTCATGGGATTGGGAGCATATCCAATGGTGCCCTGCATTTTCATAGACCGAAGAATATCTGGATCAATGGGTGGAGTTGGCCTGAAAAAGAGAGAATTATTGTTTAACCAAAGAGAAGACATCCTCAAAAGTAAAGATTTTATTCATAAATTAGTTTGTAAAATGGTTAAGGTTATAATAAAATTCAAGAACAGATCCATCACCTGTAGACATTATTTAAACACTGTGCAGGCCAATCTGAAAGCAGCTTGCCACCATGAGGAGAATATGGCAGGGGAATGGCAGCCAAGGAGGCAGTTTCATCTTTAATGGATAGAGATGGGGGAAGATCTATTTGATCAGCAAACTCTGTTTCACGAGAGTAAGTATTTATCATAGGATTCTCTGAGTTTGTAGGTGTGAAGACGTGTATGTAACCTCCACTGTCTCCTATTGCCAAACATTGGCATGATGAGGACATATCTAGTGAAAGGCAGAGTGAGCCAGCTGTGTTAACCTGAAAAGTTAAAACAATATAAGCTACATTCAGCTTTAGGGTAGGAATTGTCAAGAATACCAAAATAGAAATGAACCAGAAAACTTCAATGGAGCTGGGGAAGGATATACCTGATAAAGACTAAGATTTGGTGTTGAAAGACTGACAGTATCTGCCAACTGCAACTGCCCTAAAGATGAGACAACTGCTACTCTTGAGGTGAAAGATGGCATGAACCTTAATAATAAGGGATCAAGTACAACTGGTATAGGGTTTACAAGACGCATCATTCGAAGATCATAGACCATGAGAAAGCGATCTACTGATAACGTGCCTTGTCTGAAGAAGAATACAAGTGGATCAAACAAATTGAATAGTATTTTAAAAAGACATTGTCCAATCTGTTATAGATGTAGATAATAACACACCTATTGGTGAATCCACACGAAAGTAACAAATTGCCATGAACATCAAAATCAGACAAGCTACCAGAATGTGTTTCTAAGACATGTTCAACTGATAATGAATTAGGATCACGTAATGTAATCCTTCCAGATGGGTCGCCAGCACATACATATCGTGGATGTTGACGGAGAATGGCACATCCATTTTCCCCTACATCAATCTATGAGGAGAAAAAAAGTAATCAACCAATTGTGGAAAAATATATTTTTAAAGTAAGTTCTATACTGAGTATCTAACCAATCCCGTTTCAATTCCTTGAGCAAGATCAAACTGAATTATCTTGTCCTGATGCCCTCCCATCAAAAGAGATGTAGGAGACGTTTGTAACATGCACTGCATTTCTACCATGTTTTCAGAGCTGCAATTACAATTTTAAAAATACAAGTCAGGAAAATAATTAAAATATTCTCCAATAAAACAAAAACAAGAAATTGGACCTGTCTACTACATACCAGTGTGTGAAAAGTGGTAAACCACGACGAATTTGCCCTCTTAGAGAACTACTAGTTAAAGCAAGAATTCCTGCCTCCCCCGTAAGAATATGACGAACCTCCTCAGAGGCATGAACTTGAAATGATGTATATTTCTGTGCGGCAGTCCCAAAGTACGACGTAACGTGACCCTGATAGAAAAGAAAGAAACAAAAAGTAGAATGGTAATTATCCTATCATTGAAGATGAAACACAATTTGATTATTATAAATTAACATGTTAACTTACCCCTTGATTTCCCATCCAAAGCAATTCTTCTTCTAAGTCAAAAGATATTGCGGACACACCAAACCGATCACCACCATCAGCAAGTATAGTTTGAGATTCAATGAACTCATTGTCAGTTGCATAAGGTTCTGAAAATTGCTCCAGTCCATTATCATTGGCAAAGATCTCTCCACTTTCATTGTAAACTGGAGAAGAAACAAAGTACAGATGAGCAAGAAAGAAAACAATGGATCTGACATCTGGAACTATTGACTCGTGTTTGTTAAGAACGCAATCTGACTTTCAATGTTTATACGGCAGCGACTTTGAGTGAAGATTTCAGAATATTTTGTCCACAAGAGCGAAATACAAACGAAAGAATCATAAAATATGATATGAACTGATGGACCATTAAGGTTAGATTACTCACTCATTAGGTCGGAGCCACCATTCACAACAGAGGATCCATAGTGAGAAATGCCTGAAAACTCCATCTTAAATACATAACAGTGGCGTTACAAGGAATGATGCTGATGGCGTTTGAAATCACCACTCGGCAACAAGCACCGAAAGTTTACAAACAAGCGATCAAAATCATGCCAAGAACGCCGCCATAAGAATCATATGTTACATCCGGAAGAAACAAAAGAACAAAAGAATGGAGGGCTTATGTTATACCTCTAGCGCGCCTATATTTTTGAATGACATCGCGCCACCGACAACTATGACCCCTCATGATCTACCATGACACTATGACGTAGATTTTGTGTTTGTCGTGTTTTTACGCAAAAATAACTTAAAAAGAAGCCTGTCAACGTTTAAATTTTGAATTTTCTGCCGGAGATGTCTTTTTTTTTGGACGGTAATGTTATGGACAACAAAAGTGACACGCTGGTCGAGTCGCTCGGTGCATCGAAATTAAACAATAGCACGTGAGAAACAGTTATCCAATAAAGTTTTGATTTTTGGGGAGAAAAAAAGTGGTTTTACGACACACTCAACTTTCGCATTGCGCAAATCACACCCATATTGTATTTTGATCTCTCGACATCAGATTTACGACAATCCGAGTGTTCAAGGGAAGACGGAGGTATGCTGGCTTGGCTTTTGTTTATCCTGACAGGGCCCAGTCAACAGAAAAAAAAATCAAAGTAATATCATTTCGCAGTCGTCAACGACTCAAACCTGTGCACAGGCGCGTATTAAGGGGGGGGGGGGCGATCGCCCCCCCTGTGGGCCACTAGATAGCCGCCTGAAGGTAGGCAATTTGACCTACAAAACCCCTGTATGTAGGCAACTTTCGATGCACCGCCCCCCCTGTCCGCCCCTGCCTGTGCACGATTTCGACTTACTACATCGTAACGACGTCGTTTCGACATCGAAAAAAAATTCATTTCGCACTGGGTGGCGCCTGCAAGTAGGCAACCGTCGAGGCAACCCTGTGGTGGTCTGTGGTGGTTTCGCCCCCCCCCCCTCCCCCTCCATTTTCACGTGGTTTTCAGCATGTGTTATTTGACGTATTTACAACAATATAGAGCATTTTAACAAAAAGTGCATGTTTGCTGATGTTCAAAACTTAATTTAGTGGTGACTTTTCGATTAAACACCGTCAGATTACAGTGATTTATCACGCAATAAACGGATTTGTGTTAGTATTTTTCAAAAACATGGTTATTTGAGCAGGGAATTAATAGTCATGTGACTTGGCCGAAACACCCCCCTCCCTCCTGGTGGTGGTGAGTGGTGTTTTCACAGATCCCCCCCCCTCCCCCAAAATGCGTCACGTGGTTTGGGTACGGCCCCTTAAAGCCATAGCCTGGAAGTGTACCCTACGGGTCCAAACCTCGTATTGCCGCAGTTGCGGAGTAATGCATGTGTTTTTCTTTTCAAAAATTTAACAAAACTCTACACCTGCGCGTGCTTGCATATGGGGTGGAAAGAAGGCTGTGGATATTTGGGACTAAAATTTTATTACATCCATCACAAATGTACAAGTCGAATTACGAGAGTTACCTTAAATATCTCTTTTTGGCCTCAAAAAGAAGAAATACATTTTGATGTGAAGTTTAAACAATCTTATATCAAAAAATATTCAGACATTTACTCATTCTTATAGAATAACACATACACAATTTACAAAACCCACAGAGCTGAAGATCTTTACCTATTTATTCACAAGATACATCCATCTATTGAGTACAAAACTAGTGAAACAAGGGATATTTTATTGTAAACAAAGTCATTCATTTTGTGATTACATTACAAAAAAATAAATACATTTATTGAGATGCAGGGTTCGTTTTATCAGTCAAAGAGACTACCGTTAACTAAACGCTGTGCGATTTATCACTGTGTGAGGACGCTGGACGCAGGCCGGCGCATCCTCACCGACACACAGTCACACCACCGGGTCACACTCGCTGTGACGCGGACACATGTTTGGAGTAGGTCGGCGGCGGCTCCTCCTCCGCACTGCTCAAGTCTGTGAGTCCGCCGAGCAGCCCGGGCCCCGCGGAGGGACTGACCAGAGGGGTGGCACGCTGCTGCTGGCTGCTGCACGCGCGAGCAGGGGCCGACAACTCGCCGGGCTGGAACAGGAGGGGCGCTCAGAGGCCTCCCCGCCCCGCCCTTCTAGGGCAGCAGCCTCTGGAAGTAGGCGGGCGTCCGACTCTTCTCCAGGACGTACATGGCGTGGGGCTTGCCGTTACCTCCCAGCAGCTTGTGCATGGACGTCTTCTTGGCGGGCACATAGTAGTAAGGGGACGGCCCGGCCGGCTCGGGCCCTGCTTCGAGCTGCTGGTGCTGCTGCAGCTGCTGCTGATGCAACTGCTGCTGCTGCTGCTTGGCCTTGAGCTGCTGCTGCTGCACCCGGTGGTAGGCGGCGGCCTTCCTCCTAGTCGCCCCCAGCTTGCTCTTGGATGGGTTCTTGGCGGGCTTGGGCTGGCTGCCGTTGCCCTGCGTGGAGCGCCGCCTCGCCGCCGCCATCTTCTTGAGCACCGGGATGTTCCAGTGGTACACCCGGGCGGGCTTGCCGTTGGACCTGAAGCCCACCTCCACCTGCTAACAGACGTTCATTCATTAAGTACAACAACAACGCGCTGGGCCGGCCGAGGCCACGGCGACAGAGGGATGACCACTACCTTGCTGACGGAGTTGGCGAGCGAGGGCGGCGACTTGAGCAGCGAGTAGTAGTGCTGGCTGGGCGGCAGGCGCACCACGAACACGCGGGAGTCGTCCTCCGTGGCGGGGACCTTCTTGCTGGGCAGCATGCCCTGGCCGTGCCCGGGTAGCCTGGCGAGGCCGAGGCCGGACAGCAGCTGGTGGTTGGTGGTCAGCAGGTCCTTGGACTCCTTGGAGGAGGACGACGAGACCTCGGCGGACACGGCCGGCGCCAGGGCGGCGACGACGGCGAGGACAGCCACGGCCAGGACCGGCGCGCCCCCACACCTGCGGCAAAGTGGAACGGAAGGTCAGCACCAGTACGATCGCGTGGACTTAACGGGGCTGGCTCGGCCACAGCATAACTCGGGCCGAGCGCGGCGAGCGCGGCGGAGCGCGCGCCACCCGCGGGGCATGCATCGGGTCACTTATTCCCGACCGCGGCCGCTCCGACCCGACCCGAGCCGACCCGCGGGAGAGTCAATTGAAACGTCTCCCACCGGATTTGTTATTGGTTCCTCGGATGGGGCGTGTGGACCTGGGCCAGGCCGAGGCGAAGGAGGTGCGGCCGCGCGCGGCCCGCGGCGGCGTCCGGAGCGGCTAGAGCGGCGAGCTTCCCGTTCCGAGGGTCACGGAAAGGCGCACCGCCCCGCACGCAGCCGCTGACCTTTCCTTTGAGACCGCCGAGCAGGCCATGCAGGGCTTGGTCGCGGCTGGTCGCGGCCGCGCGGGCCCCGGGGGGAGGCTCTGCACCGAGCGGTGAGCGCGGCAGTGAGGTATTCAATAATGCAAGTTGTATTCCACGTGTATCACGAGTGCCGTGATTCAATTTCGGCCAAATATGCTTGCAAAACCCGCATCCTTTTCCCACACGATTTCCCCCACTATTCGTACATGAAGCTTAACGGTAGCAAGTCAGCACGCAAGGTCTCATTTTCTTTCTCACTTTCTTAAAATTTGCAAATTGCCGAAAAAATTGCAACAAGATTTCCTGGTGCGCTGCTGTTGCCGTTGGTGGAACTCGCGTCTGCACAGAGTTGCACCGGCAGCGCGGCGCGCACAGCAGCGACTTTTGAATAAACATGATGACCGGGCGCAGTGGCGCGGGGCGGGGCGAAGCGGGCGGTAAGGGTTGTCATTAGCGGGGAGAGCCCGGCCCGGGAGGGGGCTGCTGCGGGGCTACTGCCGGGCGGCCCCTGGGCCGTAAAGGCGAAGGCGCCGTATAAATGCCTCTGCGGGTGAGAGATGGACAGAGGGAGGAGGGGGAAAGGGGAGGGGAGCTTTGGAGGATGGCTCCGGGACCGAGCCGGGGGCTGCAAGGGGCTGCGAGGGGCTGCGAGGGGCTGCGAGGGGAGTAGTACTCCAAACCCAGCGCCCCCGGCCGGCCGCGCGCAAGCGCGCTCCCACACAGTGTACGTGTGCAAATGATTTGAAATGCGCTGCTCTCTGCCTTGCTTCGCCCGGTGCAGCAGCAGGCGAGCGCAAAGCAAGCAAGACCGGCAGCAGCGTCTTGCGTCGTTGCGCTTTGGCTAAAGGAGTTATCTGATGCATAACAAAAGGGATCGAATCACAAATGAACGACATACATACAGCATGCGACGACCTTCCGCGCGCGCTCCACCGACGGCATGGCACGGGCGTGTAGCGGGAGACGAGGAGCCCAACAGTGAACCGGTCGGGCTATGCTCACAGAACTTTATTGATTTCGCTCAGAGCGCGTCTTTATTATTTTTCTCCTACGGCCCGCGTCTTCTTCCTCTTCTTTTACTCCGCGGGCTGGTCAGCCCAAGGTGATTCATGTTAAGCTGTGACGCGCCTTCCTATTGGGGGAAGAGCAAAGGGGGAAAGGGGGG